CGGATTTGTTCAGTTGTCTATTTTGTCTTTCTGAACAGGAGTAATTTGTTACAGCAAATAACACTCATGTTTACTCACATTCCAGTCTTTTTGTTTGTTTGCAGTTTTGAAGGCTGCACATCAGCTGAGACCATCACTGTCTTCAACATGTAAACTACCTGCACTTCCCTTGCTGTGACCAACTACCAGCAAGACAGCAATTAATTCTCTCTCACCTCATGACTCACCATTGGGTGTCCATAAGTAAAGGAGGAAAATAGGAGCAATGCGAGCCAGATTGAAGACGCATGGTCTCTCTGCTAGCCCTCAGATGTGGAATGGACATTTGTTGCAAGGGGGAAAAAATTTCCATCTGAGTAGATGTGAGGCTTCCAGAGCAGTGCGCCCATCAGCACAGCAACATGCAACACTCTGAAGAGCTTTCGAAGAACTGGCTTTGTTTGGCTGAGGAAAGCTTCTCACAAGCTGTTTATTCAAGCTATCATAAAGAGACTAAAGCTGGGAGTTCTATAGTCCAAAGGGACACTGCAAAATGGGGCAAAATCTCACTTACGGGCATTCTCTATCCTTAGAGACTACTTAGTCAACCTTTTACCAGTCCCAATGTAAGTGGATGCTCTCTCAACGTGGGGAAAAGACAGTAGCCCAGCTACGACAAAGTGCAGTTCTCACTCCTACAACAGCAGTGCGATAAATGGGAAAGGGGGAATAGTCTGGAGGTGAAAAATTGATCTGAAAAAAAAGAACTTTTAACCGAGATGATGACAAGAAGGGGTTAAGAACAGCACAAAGATAAACTAATTCCTCTGGTTATTTTTAGAACATACAGGAGATGGTACATTCTTTGTAAGTGAATAAGACTACCCAAGAGAAATACATTCCTTAATTATACACTTCTTGTTTAAATGGAGAAGAGCCTGTAGGACTCCTAACATTGCCAGATATTTGTCTGAAAATGGATGCTCATTATATTTACTCTCAAGAATATTTTGGTGCACTATTTTGTCTTTATCTTAAAAAAATATGCCACTCAGTCTGCCAAAACTGCTTCTAAGCCTATGCCACATTCCTCAGCCTGATCAATACGTGTCAACATGTTGTGTGGAGACAGTGACTGGCCACGTCAGTGTCCCATGTCTGTGTCCGTGCCTTTGGGATACACACGCAGCTTTACCATGGGTTGACCCTGCAAGGGGTGATGCGGCAGCTCTGTTCCCCCAACTTGGGCAAGGACCCCATATGCCCAGGCACCACGCTGGGCTCCAGCAGCTGGGCAGGAGGGTCCTGGGCTGGAGTGTCTGGAGGAGACAGCCATGGTACAAACATCACTTAAGGTAGACTAATATAAGTTTAGAACTCAAAAAAAAAAAAAGAAAAAAAAAGAAACTAAACCAATTAGAAAAGGTGGTTTTTCTGCTTCAGCTGCAGAGGAATACAGGATACCATCATCTGCTGACTACCCAAAAGAAAAAGAAAGACAATATGGTTTTATCAAGGCAGCCTTATTGCCCTTTGCCATTCCATGCATCACATCTGCATTACCGAGCCTTGAATGTTTGGTGATCTCATGGGCCTTTGCATATCAGCAGGGTCTGATAACTGTGCTTCCCTGAGCAAACACCAGTGTCCAGGACAAATTCTAGCTCAGATGTCTCCCTGTACTCTCTAGCTCCAAATGGATATCCTACAGTGCTGTGAGATATTGCTGTGCAAGAAAAACTGGTTCAGTCATAGGAACAAGTATTATACACACATATTTTCAAAAGGTTGAAAATTTGTGAGGATTTAAAATCCTAGATACTAAACTGGCTGGAGAATGGAAGCAGGATCTTGGAAAATGACTGAGAAAATGGAAAAATGCTGGTTTGATTACAGTAATTTCAATTAAAGAAAACACTACATATTGAATATAAAAAGATGTTTAAATCTAGCCAAGAAAGAACCAGTGGAATAAAATAAATTCAAATGAGAAATAAAGAACATACTCCTAACAAACAAAGACATTAAGGAACAATCCAGTACATGTAAAGTCATGGATTTGCTTAATTTCTTGAAGTTTTCACAGAAACACTGAGTACCTTTCTCATTTTTAGCACTGATGGAGAATCTAGATGAATTAGAACAGTCTGTGAAATGCATGAAGTCATAGCATAAAATAAATCTTAGCTTTTAAGTTGTAGGTCTTTGTTTACCTGCAGATTTCCTGTGGCTGAATTGTAGGAAACAAGGAAGGAAATAAAACCAAATTAAACTAAATATTTATCAAAGATTAATAAGAGAAATTGTTCCTAGCGTAATTGTTAGAAAAACGGTAAAAATCGTGAAATGGGAAACTGAGTTCTGAGATGCCTACATAGGCAAACATGCTAGTGTAAGCTTGCCTTTGTGAACAGATATATCTCGTGCCTTACAATGAAAAGCATTGCCTACAAGGCCACTTTAACAGGAACAGCTATTTTAACATAACAAAGGAAAGAACTAAGGCAAGAGAAAGAACAGCAACAAAGAGATAGATCTGAGCAGCTATCTGGTGGGATTAAAATACAACTTTTGAAGCAAGAAATACTTTAATTCTGTATTTATTTTTTTCATAATAAATTAGAGTTTGTTTTCATAATTCGTATTGGGCATCTTTCAAAGAGTGTTTTCTGAACTTACTACTTGTTAGCAGAAACCGGTCACAGCTGAGATAGGGCTGCAAGGCAGTTCAAGCAATCCTGTGTCCGAATGACCGAAGTGGTTCCCAGTGCGGCACTTCTGTGGCCACAGATACTACAAAGCCCTTGTCAGTGCTGCTTAGGGAGCTGGGTGCAATGTGAGCTTTAGAAAGGGAAAATCCTTTCCCTTTTGTGTTTTCCATCAAAAGAGGCTGACTCCAATCAGAGGAGTCGCATCCTCCTTAGAAAACTCAGACAGCTGTTACTCCGCTTGTCATGTTTTCAAGCTTTATGCCTCACCTGGGCAATTTCTCCTGACCCAGAAGCCCCAGGCTAATCAGCTGCTATCATCACTGCTGCTGGAGGGACCAGATAAAAGGAAGGAAGGAGGCTACTTTTAAAGGAGATTGCATAAAGAACAGCAGCCCAAATTTTTTTTTTAAATTGTTTTGGAAGTGATAGTCTCCAGAATTTATTACAGGAGCATCTTATGCATTGAGAGTAAGGATAACAAAATTAAGGGACATCTTGGTCCAGGAGTGACTTAGCAATTCTTTTAATTGTTTTGGAAGTTATAGTCTCCAGAATTTATTTATTTATTATTCATCTTATGCATTGAGAGTAAGGATAACAAAATTAAGGGACATCTTGGTCCAGGAGTGACTTAGCAATTCAGAACAAATGAACAAGCAAACAAAAAGCAAAGCTTCTAAGTACATATTCATAAACAACAAAACGTAAGTTGTATCATCACTTCTACAGCTCTAATGTTGTCTTGCTTCAGTGCATTTGAACTATTCATTCACTTGTCAGCAGATACAAGTTAAAACATGCTCTTCAGATCATTTTGTATTGATCCCTCTTGACATTCTCTAGCCTAAATCCACCTTTACCAAATACTGTGCTATTCATGGGAACAATTCTCATATAAAGACTCCATTAAAACAAACAAACACACCACCAGTCAGCATCCCCAAAGAAAACACTCTAAAAACATTTTTGATCTAAAAACATTTTTGAGGAGGTATCTGTTTTTTGCCTTTACAGGTCAGCAAATTTATTATCATCTTCCTTATCACACCAACAGAATGGGAATGTCCCACAGCATGGCTGCAGCCACGGCTTCCACACTGCGTTGTACAAGGAGAGCTGCTCTGGGACTGGAGTCAGTGTCCTGTGATGCTCTTCTCTGGCTCCTCCAATCTTCCTTATCACAGTGTCAAAGAGGGGTTCGTTGTCAGGTGACAGAGGTTTGGCTTCAGAAGGGTCTCGTGAGAGGTCAAACAGCAATGGGGGGTCATGATGGGTCACACCTTCCCCAAAACACGGGCAAAATCCTCTGTCATAACAAGCCCCAGCTCCAGGTGGATGAAAGACAGGGGTCGTGTAGTGAGCCTTCCAGATGGCTCCACCTGGTAAGAAAGATAGAGGGCTTGCAGTGATACTAGTGGTTACCATGAGGCATTAGAAGAGTGAATGTTTTTCTTGAATTAATTTCTGGGTGCACTTCAGCTCTGCACTAATTAGTTGATATGGTATTGTAATTCCATTTAAAACTGAGTGCCACAGAATTAAATCAATAATGTAAAATTAGTTTTGACACTTTTTCTCCAAAATTTTCAATAAGTATCAGTTATTGCTCACTTTATTTTTTATGTAGACAAGAAATAAAAAACTTTAGGTTTCCATTGCTTGCCTCTTTGTTAAGATAGCAGAAGGACAGACAAAGGGCTGAGGCAAGGACTTCTCCATGAAACAAGGAGGATGTGAACTCCCCAGGCCTTGCATTCAGATAGAGAGGTGGGTGAGACCCATCCTGAGCTCCAGTAGCTTGCCTGGCCTGCCATATGCCTTGGAGCCACAAACAAATTCTTTGTGGTATGCAATACAGGCAATGCTCTTAAGTTCTTTTCCAACTTACACCTGGATCTGCTTATAAAGCTGCAATCCCAGAAGAAAAAAAGTGTTAGACAAATGTGCCCTCCCATAGGTTCAACCTAATTCTTGGGAAAAGTTCTGTACTCACTGTCCTTCTGGTGCCACCGCACGGCATGTAAGTGCACGCCACAGTAATGAAATAGGAACTCGTGCTCCGAGTGTTCAGCTGTTCCTCGCAGTAAAGGCAGCAGATCCCGGCCATCGATTATCCTAGCAGAAAAAAACAGAGACCATCAGACTGAGGAAAGCTGTGCAGAACCACATTCCTTCTGCACACCTCTTGCTGGAACTGGCAACTCTGAGTGAGAAAGATGTTTGCAAAAGATTGTAGATACATGCCAAATCTCAAATGTAGAGAAAAGGTGACTGAGTTGAGGTAACATTTATGTGTCTAGAAGAGGAGCAGGAATAAAAAAAAAATGTGAGACTCTTAGAATTCCAAACTGTATTTGCCGTTGTTTTGAGTGAGAAGGAGGAATAAAAACACTTGTATTTGTACCTGTCCTGGGGTAGTACCCCTCCAGCCAGATGAACTACAGTAGGATAAATGTCCATAAGGCTTGTAGGTTCATCGATAACTGTGCCTGCAGGTAACACTCCTGGCCATCTAAATATCCCTGGGACACGGATTCCTCCTTCCCAGCCTCCCATTGCTTTTCCACCTTTCATTAGAGAAGCAATAGATTTTTGAAAAAGAAAAGTTCTGCTTAAAATAAAGAGAAATTTCAGACAAATGTTATTGTGTTATCATAATGTGCCTGCCTTACCCTTTTATCTTTACTCCTAAGCTCCTTCTCCTCATGATGAGTGAAAGTGTGTTTGTGATATCAGACCCATCAAGTAACCTTACACACTCCTTTCTGTTGTTTTGCAAACACACTGCCCCATCAGAACTCAGCGTGGATAAAATTCTCAGGCATAAAGTGATTTCCCTGCCTGGTTCTCTTCTTTTACAATCCTGTAACATACCTGTTGTGTTTAAAGCAAGGCTTCAGATGTAACTTACAACTAATATATAGTGAAAAGTTACACGAACTTAATAAAAATTGTGATCAGTTGCCTTATAAGGAAATGACAGTTTGAGAATTCATACTTATAAGGAACACCTGCATAGGCTAGAATTGTCTACATTTAAAAATGCTTAATTAGACAAATTTGTTTCTCAATGATAAAACAGATACTTCTTGAGTGTACAGTCATATCTAAGCTTATAGTGGTGTCCTGAGTACTTTACTAGCTGTTTCTGGATTGTCACCATTCCTGATAGCTCTTACCTTTGTATATTCCATTCCAGCCACCCAACTGCCTTTTGCCTTCTTGTCTTTCCAGCCACCCACCGTGATCAGAAGCAAAGTAAACTAGTGTAGTATTTTCCAAGCCTTCCTTGTCAATAACATCTAGAACCTGGCCTGTAAACACAGGAATATGTATGCATTATAAATCAAAAATATCAATTACACTACATAAATTTAAGTCTCTCACTTGTAAACATTCATCAATGTAATTTCTTATCTATGTAAGGCTGCTTATTGTTTAAAAGAAGAGGCTGTGGTACAACTGTGATGTACTGTAAGCCCTATATTATTGGTGTTATAACAAAGGAGAACAAGAATCAGAGTCACAGACCAGAAGCCTGTATTTACAGGCCAGAAGCGCTGTGTGCTGTAAAAGTATGGAAAGCCTGATCCAAGGTCCCCAAATGTCAGATTCTCCATCAGAAGTGGTCATTGTGAGAAATGAAGCAAAAATGTCACATTTCCTTATCTTACATTGTAAAGGCCACAGTTAGTACTTGCATTAAATTACTGACTGGATATGACGTGCATTAATAATATAGTTCTTTTTTTATCTAAAAGTAATTCTTGAGTTGTTTCTTATATTCTTAATTATATTTGTGTTGTGTAAATGTTTGACAGGTAGGTTTGAAAATTAATTATTTTTGTATGTGTACATGATTCTTATTCCTTTTGCAACTGTGACTACTTTTCCTCTGTCACGACTAACTGATATATAGTTCTCCTTACTCTCAAAATAACAGGCTGAAAAATAACATTAATCTAATTTCTGGGGGTGTACAAATTAACATTTACCAACATTTCCAGATTTATGAATGGGGCTGAAAAATATTTAGTACTCTGCTGAATGCAGCTGTCACAGAGAAACAGCCTGCTGGTTCACACCTGGAATTAGTTTTCTTATTAGTTTTTACCACCTTTTGATGTGTCCTACTTAGAAATAGGTAAGGCATGACCATGAGGGGCTGAAATTACCTGATCTTTAACATCACAGAAAATGAAATAATTCTCACTTATTTAGTAAGAGCAGGAGAGCTCCTTGCCAGAAGGCAAGGGGACATGGTTAAAACTGGTAAATACTAGATCAAAAAAACTAATGAACAGAACGACTCATTTGGTCCAAGACCAGAGAAAGTAAAAAGCCAACACTGTAAGCCAATAGTGGTCATACAAAACTGGTAGAAGTTGATGAAAAGCCTGGGAAATCTTTCCTTCTTATTTTTTATTATCTTCCTTGCTCTTCTAATAACACCTGCGTTTTTATTATATATTTAAACCTAGACACTAAGTAGTTGGAGACACTTGTTTGCCGTGGTGACTTACCCACCATCCAGTCCATCTCCTCTACATTGTCTCCGTATAAACCGTGGCTGCTCCTCCCGAGAAACTTCTCTGTGGTGAGAAGAGGGGTGTGCGAGTGTAGAAAGGAAAGAAAAAGGAGGAATGGCTTGTGCTTATTTCTAAAAAAACCAGAAATTGACACTGTTATTAGGAAGGAAGGTTCTCAATACATAGAGATGTCAGTCATAATGGAAAATGGTACTATGATTTGATGATATGCATATTTCAACAATCACTTCAGAAACATCTTACTTTGTGAGGCGTTAAAACCCAATGATTAGGATCTGTCTGACAAAATGATGTTTTGGCATATAAAATGACTCCTTTTCCCCTGAATCCTAGAGAGAAAGTTCCAGACTGAAGCTCCACTTTCTGCTATTGCTTCTGAAACGAGGGCGGCAAGTTCATCCCCTGGCATAATATGGTTTCATTATTAACATTACTAATAATTAATAATCACAATAGTACTTATAATTCTACATAATATTGTAAAGATTATAAAAACTTCACATGCGAAAGCGCCATTTAGAAGTTGCAAGATATGCAAGAACCAGAAAATTTGTGATCAAAGGAAACACACTTTACCTTTCAATAAATGAAATGGACTCTCTCAAGATAAGGGACGTGGTCCTGTCTGTCACCATTGGCTGCTCAGTAACTTCGTTATTTCTCATCATAATGCAGTTCCAGTATCGTACAAAGCCGTAACTTGAGAACCAGGATAGGAAGAACAGGAGACTAAACCCAGCAAGGCAGGTCAGCGTTTTCCAGCGGACTGATATCAAGCCAGTGATTCTCCCCAGGGCAGCAGTGAGTGTAATGAGGCCAATCATCTGAGTGGAAAGCCAGAGCTTCCTTCTAAAGGCTCTGTCCATCTCTGGTGTTTCTGTTGTCTGGCAGTCACTTACGAGCGTAAAAGGCATCCCATAAAAATAGTCAAACCCGTGGTTTAAAGGGTGATGACAGTGGTCATCTCGGGATTCACAGTTAACACCTAGATGCCACTTCCCTGAAGATACGAGTTATTAAAAGACAAAGAGACAGTATATAACAAGGGGCTTTTCCTCATACAAAATATTTCTTAAAAAAGTTTTTTTTTCCTGCTTGTGGTAATATCTTCACCCTGCACATACACACTGAGTATGTGGTGGTATCTTGTGACTGATGAAGGTTTATCTCTATAAATTACAAGTTTCTAACAGAATTATTGGTGCTCTGTACACATATTCATGCCCTTAGCTTTGATGAAATGTAAAAAACAGGACTCAAAAGACAATGAGAAATTGAGAAAAATTCAGATTTTCAGAACTGAGCAAGAATTTACAGCCTTCTGGGATACCTATTGGGTGTGAAATAGGAGGAGGGACTTCTTTTGTAAACATAGGGCAAAATGAAATAGTTCTCCTGTCTCTTTAACTTCAACATAAACTTCTTGAAAGTTTGAACAGCTTGATGTCACAACTATGGCAACACTCAGTGATGTGTTGGTGCCAGATTGATGGGGGAAGCTATGGGCAGAGTAGCCAAGTCTGGCAGCTGAGCAGTAGATTTGACAGACAAATCACCAAATCTAGAAGAACTTGAACTCAGGAGTTCAGGATTTCTCATGAAGCTGTATATGTGTAACTTTGCTCATAATAATATCTCTGTATACTGGATGAGAATAAAAGGCATTGTTTTATAAATATTTTTGCCATTTATTTGTATTTCACCAAATTTTAAATAGTTAAAACTGCCTTCTTTTAAATACTGGAGTCTTTGTATATCAGAAGGAACATCTCACCTTTTGCAATGTAATTTGTTCTTTATTATGAACACATGTCCACTATTATGAGAAATGACATATCAAAACCATGCTTTTGCTTCCCCTGCAGTCTATTCAAATAGACTGGTTAGGCACTCACACAGAGACATAACAAGTCGGCTCATTTCGCTCAAACACTGAGGCTTGTGAATATCTGAAATCTACCTCTCAACAGAGAGATGTAGATTAATTGCGTTTTATGATCTCTGATGTAATGCAGACCTTGGATACCATATATATCTGTATAGATCAAAGTGAACATTTAAAAACCTAATTCTTATTGCAGAATAAGGAACTGTGCACTTACTTATGGAAGGATATTATGCTAACCAAACCGTTCACTCTGTTACCAACACATAAACTGTCAGCCAACACCGAGGAGATGTCAGTAGAATTGCTGTGCATTACAGTAGGAGCAGAAAAATACTACTTCAGGGGAAAAGAAAACCCCTGCTTTTTGAATATAAATGTAGAGTGAATGTTCTAGTCTAGGTATATGAATTCCTTTCAGCAAAAATCTCACTTCACCTCTTGACATATTTAGAAACAGTTATAGAATGAAACACGTTTGTAATCAATAGATAGATGCATTGGTCATAAATATAGGTATAGCTAGAGTATCCTTGGACTTCTGATGCACTCCAATGCCTAAATCTCCAGCTGAGGTTGATAAGGGCTTCTGTCATACCACAAAAGACTCAAATGTCCAGAAAATAAACTAAGGAGTGTATGATTAAGATAAATTAATCTTTCAGTGCATATGTTATACAACATTGGCTTTTTGACTACAAAGAATCTGCAATGCATTTTCCAACAAAAAGTCTCATTATCACATCAATCTGCAGGTTATTAATAGGATTTAACTTTGCAATTAAACTGATTGTTCTCAAACCAAAGCAATCACAACTCATTCAGGTGAGACTAGTGCTCATTGAGCTGTGGTGCTGTGGGTAGACCTTGTGTAAGATTTCTTGCTTCATGACTTGAATATAAAGTTGTTAGTAAGGGCTTTTTTTTTTTTTCTAGTCACTTATCACCACTGCTCTCCATCATCCCCTATGGTGCAATTAATCAGAATCTGTCAATCCAGTTAAACTAAGTGATGCTTTTGGTGTCTGCAGTGTGATTTTAGCTGAGATGCCCACAGGGAAAACGCCAGCCCATTTTGCTAGCTAGCTTCTAGGAGGTACGAAGCACAAGCTCCCTGCAGGGCAATTCCTTTGGCAAAGTGGAGACAAATCTGATGGTTAGTGATTACATGCTGAAACTAAGCTGGAGCACGTGGTTAATAGACATGGGCTTTTTTATGAGCTGATTGAAAACAATTAAAATAATATGGCTACAAAACTACAGGAGAAGAAGATTCAGTAATATACAACTAAAAATGCTTAGAGAGCTTCGTTTAGTATTTTCCTGTATGGTTTAGATTTATTCAGCTGAATGAATACAAATCCATTCCTGCAGACACTTCTAGTAATAAATTCAGTATGTTTGTTTGGCCAATATTTTTAAGTGTTAGACATAGATTTTGGCTATTGACATCTAGATGCTCAGATGAAGTAGGGCAAATAGCTGAAAATTCAGCTCAGGAGCAGTTGTGCTTTATCAGTCCGTGGAACTATGTGACATATCTAAGATAAATCATTATTTGAAACTGGATCATGACCAGAAGTTACAACTATGTTAAAAATAAAACAAGCTCCTATAAATTACAAAGTAAAATGGAATTTGTATTAATTCTAAAGGAGGCAATGTTTTGTGAGCTGTACTAAAATCTTGCTGAACTATAGTAGCAGGCTGTAATTAAAAAAAAAAAAATTGATTTATTTCTGTTTTTGAAAGGCCAAATCCTCTGATATTATGAACTGTTTCTATTGCTTTAAGTAGCAGCTGTTCCCTTTTGTTTTAAACCTGCTCTGGGCTGTGTAAAGCATCGTCACACAGATTTAAATGGCACAATGTTTTTTATAAAATAGCATTGGAATAATTATCATACACCAGGTAGAATAATATTCAAGAAATATTAACATATTTTCTATCATATATTTTAATAACCACAGTTTTACTTGGAAGCAGGTTAACTGTAAATATTGTTGTCTGTATCAGTTTCCTGGTTTTTTTGAGAGAGTTTCTTTGTAGTTAGGACTTCTTCTTACATGGTATTATTTAATCAGGAAATAAAAATATTACAACTGAAGTATGAGCAGTTGCTAGTTAAAACAAATGATTTCAGTGAGATGTGCAGGTGAAATATATTCTAGACCATCTTCAGGATTGTCCCCATACCTACCTATCAGTCCTGTCCTGTAGCCTTGCTGCTGCAGTATTTTGGCAAAAGTAGTTTCGTTTGGAGGAAGCCCTCCTGAGCCACCATTCCAAAAAATAACTCGGTAATTGTTTATAGCATCCATCCCTAAAAAATACAGTAATAAACAATCTTAGTAAGTATAACTGGTAGAGTACTTTTACCAAACATGCTTTCTTGTTTCTTGGTTTTATGGATATTCTTACATTATACATTCATCCTGATGCTGTTTGTTTGCGGAAATGAATTGAGGACTCTGGACAAGATTGAGAAAGATTTAAGTTTCTCCATTATACACCTGAATACCTGTTCTTCTTTGTATCTCATACTGAGGCTATTTTATTTTATTTTATTTTATTCAGAATGATGTAGTTGTATAGGATTTTGACAGGAGTGACGGTGCCATCCAGGCTATGTGAAGTGCACTTACTTAGTGTGACTGTGAGGGCAGGGAGGAGGGTAGGGAGAATTCAGCCCTCTGTCAGCCTCAACCTCCACTTTGCATGAGGCTGCCTGGGAACTCAAGATATCCCTGCACAATTGCATGGCTGGTATTTAACTTCTGAAATTCAAAAAGTAGCTGTATAACACCACAATTTTCTCCTCACTTGAAGGTTTACACCCCGTTATTTAGCATTATACCGATGTAACCCCATCATACAACTGTATGTGAAGTAGTCTGTTATGGAAGCACTGAACATCTCTGGCCCTGTTTTTGTAGTGGGTGAGAGTCTGCACATGCTCATGCGTATATTCAAGCTATCTATTTCAGCGGAAGGTATCATGATAAAAATAGGACAACATGCCAGCTCCAAAATCTGAAGATCACTTGCACTAGAATAAATGTTAGAGAGTTGCTGTTAGAAGCATGTAGAGCTATTTGTTTTTCATACCTCTTCATCTCAGGAACACAGTTTGACAGGATAGTATTTTTTCTGCAGAAAGAGAACTGGAAAAAATAATATAGCTGTCAAACTGTTATTTCATAGAACAGATGAATTCTGACACACAGGTGACAAAGCTTTCCAGTAAATGACTCTTTCTGCACCTCAACTGAAGGGAATGGTCAGGCATCTGCATAGATCTACTCTGCTTCCTGCAGGGCTGAGCCGTTTCTGATATCTGATGAGGTGTCACCCATTCATAGCAGAAATAAATGTAAGTGCTGCCTTAGAAATGTGTTATTATTGTTCATGTACTGTCTAATGACCTTTCTGAGTGTTATGATTCGTGCTAACTCCATTCTGGCTGCAATCACTGCAACGGAGCCCCAAAAGACAACTGAAACTGTGAGCTGGAGGAGGAAGAGAGCTGCTCTGCAGAGCTAGTTTTTCTCTGCTTCAACCCAGGTCAGTTCATTGTACCCCATAAATATAGATGCTACTTCAAAGGTACCAGGCTTAGCTGGTGTGCCTTTGTGTACCTCAGGTGTGGGACAACGTGTCTGCAGCACCCCTCATATTTGCAGACACTCATTTCTTTTGTACCCATTGCACAACATCTTTCACTTCAGCAATAAACCAATGTTTAAAGGCTGCTTGGATCTGCAAGGCAAACCTGATCGGAGCGGATATCTGCCAGTGAGGAAAGCTGCTCTGCTGGGGGTGCAAAGTGGAGCCGCAGCAATGTGTTGCGTCAGCTTCACTCCTTCCTTTGCCAGGCGATCAATGTTTGGGGTCCTAAAAATGCAAACAAAATGCTATTGTCAGATAGCATTCAGAGAGTCTTCAGGGGAACGAGAATGAGGAATAATATCTTTAATTCAGAAAGTTTTTTTTTATTTGAGGGCCAGGATTTATGTTTTTTATTTTAATTTTCTCAAGTGACTGTGAATTTTTTTTTCTTATTTCTTCCTTAACAAGCTCTGTCTGGATAAATTCCAAGCCAATCATTCCTTCTTTTTTCCCAAGTCCTGTGAAGGGCCTTGCAGAAATGTGGCCCACTGCTCTTCAAAAGAAAAGTCATGCCTTGGGGATGGTGCTATTCAGAAGTGAAAGTCTGGCCATGCTGAGTCCCATCAGCTAACCATGCAGCTATGTGACCATCATCAGTATATGACCGTCATCAGCTGCACATCAGAAGTTTGGAGACCAGTGCCAATCAGGGTGAGATTCTGAGAACTCTGTTGAATGAGGGGAACGATTTTACCAGATTTGGTTTTACTGAGAGAAGTGACAAGTTGTTAGGAAGCCAGTAGGCAGTACTGTGGCACAATTTCCAAACAGAAGGCAAATTCTGTGTCCTTTGGTCTGAAAAGAGAAGGATTTCCCAGTAGTATAAGCCAATTGCAGTGATTTATACTGTATTTTAGTGTGAGACTGGGAAAGAATGGTGAAATAGAGTTAAATGAGGTAATGAGGCCTGATATGTTGCAAGAGGGGACAACATTTCTGTCTCCTTTCTCTGTGCAAGATCTTATCTGTTTCTCAGTGTTGGGCAATTAAGGAATACACAAGAGCAGCTGACATACTCCCACAGTAAAGCAGCTCCTGACAGCAGGGCTGGCCCTGGAAATGCTCCCTAGGCTGTGAGATAATCTTGGTAGTGCTTTACATTTACCATTAATGGCATCTACGGGTAATCTTTTCATTTCTCCAGGAAATAAACTTGAAGACAGCTTGGATGATGAGCAGAGGATTCCAGTTTTTGTTAAATAACACACCAGCTCTTTTCACTTACCTGATAGTATCATTCCCATAGCAACCTACATCCCCTATGCCGAGGTCATCGGCCATCAGTAGGACAATGTTTGGTTGTGTGATGATGGAAAGTTGTGTAAGCGGTGGCTGCAGAAGTAGAGCAAAAATCAGGAGGATGCCCAGGGATGTCCTGAAACACAGAAGAAGGAAAGAAGCCAATGACCAACCCATTTGTCACTTTCCTTGTACTTGGCTGAAGACCCTCCTGTGTGAACAGAGGGTGCAGAAAAGGGATACAAAGATGATTAAGGGATGAGAACATCTCTCTTATGAAGAAAGGTTGAAGGACTTGGGGCTTTTTAATCTGAAGAACCTTTAATCTGAAGACTGAAGGGGGATCTTATCACTGCTTATAAGTACCCAAGAGGTGGGTGCCAGGAGGATGGGGCCGGCCTTTTTTCAGTGGTGCCCAATGTCAGGACAAGAAGTAACAGGCACAAACTTGAACACAGCAAGTTTCATCTAAACATGAGGAGGAACTTCTTTCCTTTGAGAATGGCAGAACACTGGCACAGGCTGCCCAGAGAGGTTGTGGAATCTCTGGCTCTGGAGACTTTCAAAACCCACCCGGACACCATCCTGTGTGGCTGCCCTAGGGGATCCTGCTCTGGCAGGGGGGGTGGGGTGGGGGGACTTCACAGGTCCCTTCCAACCCCAAACATTCTGTGATTCTGTGATTCTGTGAGCTTGGCTGCAGACCAGACCACTCTCTGCCCAGAGGTGTGTTAAATTTTGATCACTGGTCCAAACAGCTGTCATGAAAAGGAAAACGTTGAGATCATAACTTTAAAATCACCCTTTCTGATTGTTTCCAAACTTTCTATGAGCACTATCACTTGGAAAAATACATGCGGCAAATGATACATAAGTGATTTTACTTATGTGACTTGGGAGGTTTCCTAGAAGTTGGTCTAGGAAACTGAGAATGGGATCAACTTCTTCTGACATCCTTCTTGCCCAGACTGGGCCCTTTGCATTGTGAAAAAGTTAAGAACAAGAAAAACAAACAAATCACACTGTGAGTATACTTTATAGATAAACACTGCTATTTTATAATACAGTATTATGTCATTATTAAACTTTGCTTGCTTTAGTTCTAAGTATGATATTGCAATAATTCATGAACTTTTTTCTTACCAATAAGATGTTAGTTGCCAAATCATTTCTGCATTTGGAGTGCTCAGATTCTTCAAAACCAAGAGAGAGAATCTTGTCCTGTTTGGATTTTCCTAGTAGTTACTGCAATAAAAATAGTTTAAAAAGCTTAATCAAAGCCTATCAACATTCTTTGTTTTACTTCAGTGCACCTCAGATCAGACCCTAAATGAGGAAGACTACAGGCATTACTGTTATTTTTATTGCTAACACTTCACTTCTTTTCTTTTTGTGTACATAAGTTTATGCTAAAATAACAAAATAATTCTCTTTCATTACACTGATGCAAAGCACAGCCTGGAGCTCAAGGCTCAGCTTCCTCAGAAGCTGCCTGTGAAATAGCAGGTAATACCCAGAGAACTGTGACTGAGATTATCCCTGTCAAGCCATTTCCTTAGTGAAAGGTGACGGAGTCCAGTCAGAGAAACCTTGTGGGAGCAAGAACAGTGAAAGCAGCTTGCCCTATTCCTCTCCTTTCTGAAAAGTCAAGGGTGACCCCAGGTCCCTTCCTGGGCATGTAGCTCCATGCTCAGCCCCTGGCAGCTGGGGCAGCAGCAAGTGTCCACCTGATTCAGCCATCAGCAGTTCAGAGGGTGCCTTTCTGAGGACTTTTTTCTGAGACCGCTTTTGCCAAAGTGGCACTTAAGCTATGCTGCGAGCAAACTCTTCATTTGGCTATCTGAACTGAACTCAGCTTAAGGCAAAACTCTTTCCATCCCCTCCCATTATTTAGTTCCCCCAAAGTAATTGGCTTTTATGCCTTTCTGGGGTGGGGGGCGGAGGTATAGCTTGCATGGTTTTCATACTTTACTGATTTCTTTAACCAGTTGAAATGTTTTAAACTGTCTTCACTTTTACATCAAAATACTTACAAGATATTGAAACCTCAATTCAAACCAGTTTGCATAAGAGAAAATATTCATGTTTTCAGATGCACTCAGACACACTTTTCACAAGAGCAGTACCCATTTGTGGCATCAGTTTGGCAACACTCAGTGAAAGGTCTTACAGGTAATTGCATTCACTTTAGTGCTGTTCAGTCTGTGAAAATGTCTTATAAAAATTCTTTATTTTGTAGACTTGATACAGACAAAATAAAAGCCAGACTCATGATAAGAAGTTGCCTGCAGCTTTCAACTTTATGAATGTATGAGAATAAAGTTTATATAAAGGGAAATGCCTTTTAAAAACTTCCTTGAGATATTTTTATCTACAGAAGAAAAAAAAAATCCAAATCCCCATTAAAATTTTCCTGTACATTTCCCAACACAATAAAGGAGGAATACGGTACCTGCTCAAGTTTTGCTCAAAGCAGACAGCTGATAGACTGGAGGGTGAAATTATTTTCAGTTGACTTAAAACCATTCCAAACTTTTCGGCACAACAACTGCTTCTGAAAGCCGTCCTTAAATCTGCTCCAGCTGTTCATGCGCGTTTTGTCACAGGAGAGCTGTGTTATACCAGAGCTTGCAAGCAGCTGGATGGTCTAATTTATCCCCGAGCTGCACGTCCCACCACTGCTTGCATAATGGTGACATTCATACAATGTATGGGGGTTGGGCTGGGGAACACCACAGATGTGGCTGAAATGCCTTCTGCCCAACCACTGGCTTTCTCAAGGGAAAGGAAGGACCTCCTTCAAATCTGAGACACTCCCATGAAAGGCACTATAAATAACAGTTCCCTGTAAACCTCTCCTCATTTCCACAGGGAAAACACTGTGGAGAAGCACGCACGAACTCCGAGATGGTGGAAAACGGAATTCGCTTTATTGCAAGCAGGCACACATATTTATACTTCTTAGCAAGAAGCACTATTTGTGGGTTACAAACAAGAGACCAGACTATGCAGCCAGGATTGTTATTAGCTCATGTACTCCTTCAATCACTCTCTTATCACACAGGGAGAACAGACTTTCCCGCATCTGTTTGTATCATTCTTTCCCATTCACTCCCATGCATGTCTTGTGTACAAGAAGCGTTTTATCTGTTCATTCTCACAGACAAACTCCCAACATGAGCTATGCTCAGCTGGTCCAGGTCTCTTTTCACAATTAGCAAGCAAGAGTTAGGTACTTGTTTAGAAAAGAGCTCAAGGACAAAAGTCTTAATTCTGCAACGCAGTGCTGCCAGCACAGCTAACTGTAAAATGTATCCACAAAACACAAAATTGCTGTACTTAGGAAGCAGCAGTTCTTTGTCTGTAGTAATAGAAATTGAGCGAATATCTTCACTTTATGGGAGCTCCAAGTGCCTGCAGCAAGGGCAAGGTCACCTCTGTACACTTAGTGAGAAACAGCTTTAAGGTGTGGGGAGGAAATTCTGGCAGAAGACCTGAGTCATTCAGCTTCACTTCTGAGTGCTGCCTGTTTCTTAATCATCACTCAGAGGGACAAATTAAGGTTACAGACAGGGTAATCTTGATCTTTCTTGTTTGAGTTTTCTTCTCTGTGTTTTTGTATCTTAGGAGACATTGTTATGAGTTGATCCTTCACCACCAATTGCAGAATGCTTTGCTAGTGAATCACTTCTGAGGAAAGTTACAGTACCAGAGGTGATCCTTCACCTGCTCTCTTGCACCCCAGCATGTCCATGCTGGAGTGCTTACAGCCAACACATACAGAAGCAATGTGTCTGGTTTTCCTTCTCTTAGTGCCTGCTTCCTTATCCCCTCCCATGTTATAGCATCTCAACTTGTACCTTTTCAGTTCCCCTTCACTGTGCTTTTAGCACTTCAGGATTCATTAAAGTATTTTGGATTTCTTTTTGACTGATGCCCTCTGCTGCTCTATATTTTCTAAAAAGCTGAGTTTTACTCTCCAGGTTGCAATCCATCTAGGCCCTGCTGACTGGAAGAGCTCCTCTTGTAGCTGGAGTCTCCTGCACAGCTTTCCTACCCTCCTTGTGTTTTACCAGGACTCCTTGAAGATTATGTAGTATTTATAATGGAGAACCACAAACTATAACTGCTATGCTATTTACTAAATTTAGAGTACAGCAGGAAATTGAATGCATGTCTGCAACTGCTTTGTGTCTCTACACTGCTTTGTATGTAGCCTTTTTCTAACACAAAGATAGCTAGACCAGATCACTGAAATCTCGTTGTAGGGCACTACTGCCTGGGCACAGCTATAGTATAATGAAGATAAAGGAGGGAGGGTAGTGCTTGTGGTCTGCAGACTTTCCTCTCACAGTGACAACTTGTGCTTATTTTGGTGTCTCATCTTTGGAGGAGGGAAAGGTGAATGTCCTCTTACTGGTACTGCTTCAAGACGGCATTTTAAAAGGTCTAGGCAAAGCTAATTCTCTTCCCAGCCACTGCACTGTCTCTACTGGTTCTTCTTTGGGGAAATCCTTAGAAATTCTTTCATTGTTCAGAAGATGGAATGAATGCAGAATTTTTCAGAAGCCAGGAATACTGTTATCTTTTACTCTCATTTTTTTTAAACTGGGTACTAGAGGAAGTAGCGCCCACTGACTCTGTTAAGGGTACTTTAACATTCAAGAGTTGAAGGCCCGACTTAGTAGTGGTTTGATGTTAGGCTCTGATGATCAAGAGACTCCCTCTAGTGACAAATTTGCTTTAAAAATATTGTTAAGCCTAGGAGAACATTAGATTCACACACTACCTTTCTAAAAGTCGTTGTACAAGGGTATAAAATGATGTTATTTCTTTGATTTACACTAAATCTTTAAGGTCTGAATGACCAGGAATATTTTCAGAGCCTTACTTGTTGTCCTGGAGCATGTAATTTGGGTTTGTGACACCATAAAGAAATCTGTTTTTTGCGCTCCAAGACTGTTCTGCAACGTTAGCCACAGTGTAATACATGGCAGCAAGTGGGACAGTCACTTCAAAAGTGCACTTCTGGTCTGGCCTGAAGCGGTAATTCAAATGCCCCATTTCCTGCTCGAGTTAGAAGGCTGCTGCTCACAAGTCTCAGAGAAAGATTCAGATTGCTAACATACCACCTGATCTCTCAAGGAAATCTAAAAATCAGTAGATGTTTCCATTTGTGAAAAACAAATTTCTGTGCTGTCTAAATATAACAGCCTACTTTGGCCAATGTATTTGTAGGGGTCAGAAACCTGCATATAGGCATAATCTAACTCTTCAGCAGAGTGGGATGGGAACATAGCTAAAAAGTAACCCCCTTTTTTTTCCTGGATTTTGCTCATAATTTCTAGTGGAATTTTATTTGTATTTTTTTTTATTTAATTAAAATCCTTGAATAAGGTGTATAATGAGTACTTGCAACAGGGACTATGGCTTTGGAGCTCTCTTTCAAGAATCCTGCCTTTTACAAGAGAGACGGATGTTAGCTCTCTTTGGAGCATCTTATAGCTTTTTATAAGGTAGTTTAAAGCAAAAAAGAGTCATCCACTCTGTCCAGCTCAGGAAAAACTGATCTTCAATGGAAGAGAAATAGTCTTCTTCTGGTGCTTGCAAGCACAAGAGACTGCTTAGTTCAGACTCCCGAGGCCATTCTGCTGCCCTTAGTCATGTACTTCTTCTGTCACAGGTTTACAGCTTCCTTTTTTTGTTGGCTTCTCCACATTCAGGAGCACACAGCCCTTGTGATGTCCCACACAGGTCACGTGCATCCGTGGCAGTCCCCATGGATACTGCTTTTTGAAGCAGTAACTTAAATGCTTAGTAACAGAGAGATTGTGTCTTGTCCTCTCTTCCTTCTACTGAAGTGAAGGTGATACCTTAATGTATGTGAATACATGTGCACATATCAGAATTTATAGAGCTTATTTTGAATATTTCTAGATTTTTGCTCATGAGAAAGAAGAGAAAACCAAATTTCAAACAGTTCAGGTTGTTAGACTAAAATTTACACCAAACCAAAACAACGTCTCACAAGTAATAATACTGAATGAAGAGATACAAAAACGCCCAAACCCTTGGATTTCTTCTGACAAGCTATAAAATGCAAAAAATACATTTTTATTTTGCTAGCTGATGGAAGAAAGGCACATACCTAACATGTTCTTAAAAACTT